AAAAGGCCAAACTCTAAATGGCAAAGAATTCACTGATTTTCTGGACATTAAAAAAAAAACAACTAAATGTTGTGCTTCAGAAGCACCCTGAATTTTGAAGAGATCAGAACAGAGAAAGAGGAGGTGTTCAGAGCAGAGCATTAACTCAGGTCTGGTCTTGTTTTTCTGTTTCATACAAGTAGTCATGGGAGGACAACCAGTTCGCAGTAAGACAGAAAGACGTTTAAAAATAAAATGAGGGGAGAGTAATGGCTCAGTGGTAAAGCATGTGCTTAGCATGCCTGAGGCCTTGAGTTCAATCCCCAGTACCTCCATTTTTTGAAAAAAGTCAAAAAAAACCTGCACCCCAATGTTCACAGCAGCACTATATACAACAGCCAAGACATGGAGACAACGCAAATGTCCATCAACAGATGACTGGATAAAGAAGATGTGGTATATTTATAATGGAATACTACTCAGCCATAAAAAACAATAAAATAATGACATTTGCAGCAACATGGATGGACCTGAAGATTGTCATTCCAAGTGAAGTGGGCCAGAAAGAGAAAGAAAAATACCATATGACATCATTTATATGAAGAATCTAAAAAATAATAACAATAAGGACACAAATGAACTAGTTATTCTTTTGATTTCTTGAAAATGTGTGAGCACATCCGACTGTCCTTTATGACTGGATTACCGTGCTCTGTTGATTCTTATTTTGTTGTTGGCTTTATTCCTTTGATAACTAAGTTTAAAAAGCTGAAGATCTAATCTGTTCTTAGAAACGATAATTAGTACATATATGTAAACTAAAATAAAGTGCAGTATACTGTATATATGTATTTACATGCAGTATAATGTACAGTGCAGTCGAAGTGTAATGATTCTACATAAAACTGAAAAAAAAGTCAAAAATAAAAACTTCATTTTTAAAGTTAGGTAAGTGTGTTTAATCCTCATTTCACATTAAAAGCTTGAAGTTGGTTATTTTTCTATAAAAGCATATGTCTTGTCCCAAATGCTTTCCCTTACCATATTCCTTATTTACAGACAATAAAATTAATAAATACAGCCACTGATAAGGCATGGATTGAAGAATTTGAAAAGGGGGAGTTTTTTTGTCTATAAAATCCCCCAGGATCACAGTAACTAAAGTGCCAGGGAGCTAAAGCGAGTCCCAAGCTAAGCTCTGCCACCTTCGAGGACCGGATCCCCTTCTTCACTTGCTA